ACTGTTCACACGCTTTCCCCTCCCTTAGTCCATTTAAATAGTAATGAAGAGAGGCATGGACTAAAGCCTCTATAATCCCAGTTGCCAGCAAATGTGGAATGTCAGGCTAGTCACTTCACCAAAGAATTTACAGTCTAAATGCACAAGAACATTAGGCAGACATTAAGAAGTTGATATGCCCGGAGAGAAATTTGAATGTGAAGGTAAATTCAGAATACTAACATCTAGCTTGAAATCACTGAATGTCAATGCACTATTGTTAACACTGTCGTTCTTTTGTATTATGCATCTCATTTAAGCTTGCTTGGGGGAGAAGAATTCTACCTGTAACCCAGTATTTTGGTATTCTTATGCTAGTCTGTGATCTCAGTGTATTTCCATATTGGGAATATTTTACCTGGGATGCTTAAAATGTAAACTTCCAGTGATGCCAAATTGTGCCCTTTGCAAGGAAAGGGGAGAGAGGACCTGTAAAAGAATTACTTTCTGAATTCTATAAGGAATCCTAATCCCTTGTCATTCGGGGAGCAAAACACATGTTGTAATGGCATGCTTTACAAAAGAGCCAACCCGGTAGCTAATTATTATTATTTAGTTAATGAGTAGTTAATTATTGTAGTTAATGTAGTTATTGTAGTTAATTGTTGTAACTAATGTAGTTATTTTTTTTTATTTTTGTCAACATTTAATATTCTAGGGATGTAAAAGTTCTTGGTATAATAGAGCACAGAACCTAGTGACTGTCTTCCAAGAGTTTCTCCATTCCCCTGAAGTCTGGCTCTTCACGCCTTCCTGTCTGGTCTTCAGATATGTGTGGCACATCATCACCAGGCTTTGGCATGAGGGTTTTAAACTCATCTGTTACACTGTGTTTGCAAGGCTGTTACCCAAATTGTCTGAGTTATGCACAGCTTAAAAACATGGAAGTGTAAGAAAAACATCTTTTTCAGCCACGCAAAGCTTGGCATTCAGACTTGATGGCAGTGCAGTCGTCACGTTTCACGTGTCAAAGGAGCGAATCAGTTCTCAACTACATGTTTTCTTTTGTCCCCTTGGAATGATACACAGTTATGGTAGTGCTAAAATCAAACTGAGCCTCCCCAAAAGAGTGTTTTCAATTGGATCAGCGTGCTTACCCCGCACTATGTGGGCAGGAGCGCCCCTTTCTTTGCATCAGTTCCAATGCCAAGGGAGATGGCAGTCCGTCCAGCTGTATCCCATAATTAAGTTGACATAAACCATAGTGATACACAAGCAAAGTCTCAGTAGCTTCAACTACAGGCTGAGCTCTCAAACTTTTAAGTGGTTTCAGGTTGCATTTGATAGGTGCTATGGTGAAATTCTGAGTAACTGAAACTTAGACTACAGTGTACTCATCATGGGAGATAAGGAAGCAAGTATTAATGCTTGTCTGTAAAAACAAGTGAGCAAAGCAAACTTAACGCTATTTAATCTCTCACCTGTTTTGTCTCTGAGACTTCCCATTAACTGCTGAGCTGTGTGTACCTGACTTGAAAAGAACAGTTTCATATCAGTTATCTGAAAGAGAATGAGTTTCCCTGCTGCTTGAAAGGAAAAGTTTATAACAAAGGCGAGGTTTAAAAACACGGGTGCTGTTAGTGTTTCTAAACTTTCTGGGATGAGAGCGTGCTGGTTCGCAGAAGTATATTTTAGGAATAGGTCTGCTTCATGGATATTGTCTGAAGCTGCTGAACGAGACTGGCAAACAAGCTTTGCTGTGTGGGATACTGAATCCTTTTCCAAACCTGCTGTTGCAGACATCTGGCACTTTAAACTTTCTGAGAGATTGGTTCTGTCCTTGAATGAAGGACAAGTGTCACACCAGTAGGTTCTGTATCCTTGTTTTTGATATCACTGCTTTATTTACGTGGTTGACTGAAGCGCCTTGCGCTCTTCGAGCAATGAATAAAAGCGTTGTCTCGGATTCTACAGCCTGAAAACTGTATTACATTGACTGTACAAACTGTAGGATACTACTCTTAGTGTAAGCCAAAAAACAATAGAGGGATATAAGACCCAAGTGAAACGATGGTTACAGTAATGCCATATGGCTATTGGATTGTTGTGTGGGGAGTTGGGTTGACTGAATGTTTTCTCTTTCATGTTGGTAGACTTGCAAAGCTCACCGCAGCAGTCCTACTGGCTAAAGATGTACCTGTATACTTCTTTTCCACGTATGTCCCCACACCATTTGTGGTGAGTCATCTTCTCTTTTATATTGTTGAACCATGCAGTTAAGGGAGTATTTGAAAGTTTACTAAAAATGTGAACTAGCAATTTTCTTCTCAAATTCCGTTATTTAAACAGAAAAATAGAGGCTGCCTGGTACACTTGGCTCTTCAAGAATGTCGCTGAATTCTTCTGTGTGCAGATAGTCAATAGAATCACGTTCCACCCTAGGCTGCTACGCGAGGGCAGTAGTTACTGCAGTCCAGGCTTTGCTCTATTAGTTACAGGTGAAGCATCTGCTATTCTTTTATTCTGTGCTTAAACACCTGGGTGTCATAAGGGTCAGAGATGATATTTCTGTGTGTGTGAGTATATGCACATATAGGGACTGCATGTTTTTGGACATAAGACTTATACTGCTTAGAGTGGAAGAAATGAAGGATTGCCTCTACTTTTGATATCTCAAAAAACAGCTTTCTGTTCTACTCGCAGAAACTTTTTCTTGCAGGGTTTTAAATCCTTGTTTTCTATTCTGCAAGCTTTTCTAGTGTGCTGTGTACGCTGTGGATCTTGTTTTGAGGAGAGGACTGAAAGGACTGGATGCTCTTTAGCTGGAAATACCTGTAACTTGTTTTTCAACAAGCCTTTTGGTGAATTCCTTCATTCTGTTTGAACCTGTTTTCTCTTTCTCAAATACCAGTGTAATCAGAGTGTAGACTTTCTTCAGTTGGCCAGTTAACAATTGTGTTTATGTCATTGGTAAATAGGATAATGTTCCTATGCAACAGAATAGAACAAGCTTTCTCTCTATTCCTAGCTACAGGAAACAGAATGATGAGCATTCATACATACAATTTTCAAATAAACTGGTGAAACATAAGAGCCACTTCTCCTGTAGCATCCTCTTGCATAACGGTCCTAATAACATAATGTTATTTGTGCCAGCTGCAGCACTCTTGGGTAAATTAACATTCTGGGTTTCCTTTGCAGCCCTACGCTGTTCAGCAGCTCAAAGCTGTGGCTGGCGTGATGATCACAGCCTCCCACAACCGGAAGGAGGACAACGGATACAAGGTAAGGCTTGAACTCAAAGTCTGTAGCATGTCACAGCCAGCTGCTCTCCAGCATTACCTATGTGCCTTTGGCATTTGACCGCTTCCGGAGCGCACGTGTGTGTACGTTAGAAGGAGAAATTTTCAGGTAATTCATCCTTCTACAACCTGAATTACACACACTTTCTTCTGCGACGAGAACTTAAGACCGCACTGCTTGTGTATCTTGAGCACGAGTCTGTTGTGACATTCCATGGAGCCTAATCAGCAGCTGAAGAAATGCTTAAGCAATTTATTATGTGTTCACTTCTTGACCTTAAAAATGAGTTTAAAACTAAGCTAGAACTTACGTGAATTAGTCCACACAGCAGGTAACTGTGCTGAAGATGGTGACGGTTTAAGAGTTGGTTAATAAAACTTTGTAGTAGTGTGTTGCCTCCTGTAAGGTGGTTTTTCAGGGCATTGAGAGAGAGGTGGGTGGCTTCATTTTGAAAGCTTGGAACAGTATAACCATACATAATAGCAAATGCTGCCCATGCAGTATTGTAACGCAGCATTTCCTCTCAACTTTGTAAGAATCTGAACTAAACTCTAAACTTTTAACTAAACTTCGCATTCTAGAAGCTTAGTAACAGGTCAGTGAGTAATGGCACTGCTGGGAAATCCAGTCTTTGCACAGAGAGAAGTCGTGGAGGTTATCATACTGCACTTGTCCTCTGTGGAACAAGTTGTAAAGTACTTGACCAGCCTTTACTTTTGCTTAGCTATAACAATGAATAAGAAAATAAGCCACATCTGTTTCCCAGGTGCTTCATTTATCAAGAGGCTATTATGTTTGTGTCTTCTGATACAAAGCATTTTACTTTTGTCAGGATATTATTCTTTCTAGTCTTTCACAAGAATTGTTTTATCTCTCACTGTTTCCCCTGTGAGTTCAGCAGCCTCTGAAGGTTTTGGACAATTTTAACCAAACTTGAGAAACCCATAGTTTTGAAGATACTGAGTACCTCTGAGTTTCACGAAAGCCAGCGGACAAGAAGAGAGGCAGATTGGTCTGAGTAGAAAGTCTGCATTGTGAACTCAACCATGCTATTGGAAACAAACTGTGGGAAAACTGGCATCTAAATAATTCTTTAACAAAGACTTTTTATAGTTCAGGGTTTGATAGCGTTTCTAGCTGAAAGATTACAGTTGTTCAGTTACGGAAAAACATGTACCTTGGCACACTGCTTATCTGTTCTGCTTTGATTTCAAAAACAAGTTGTGCTTTTTCAAAAGGAATGCCAGACTGTGTAGAAGGTAATGTTTTTCTTCTGTTACAGTTTGCACAACACTCTCAAATGTAAGTGCCCAGTTTTGGTTTCTCACGTCCCGATGATTTCAGTCATAATAGTTGAATCCCAGCTTTTTTGAAAAAGCTGTCTTGTTGCTGAGTAGCTATCATTACATAACTGAAATGATAAACTGTGATTCCCAATGACTTTTGAGAATCAAGCCTCGCTTGATTGATGCTAGCCTTTTCTGTATGACTTCAAGAAGCAGGAAGCATGTGGAATCCTAGAGCTAAAAGAATTTATCAAGTTAATGCTCTTTGTAAATAACCTGTGTCTTGTTTTCCTTAAACTTTTACCAGGTTTATTGGGAAAATGGAGCACAGATCACCTCTCCTCACGATAAGGAAATTATAAAATGTATAGAAGAGTGCGTTGAACCATGGAATGGCTCTTGGAATGAGAATCTAGTAGATACCAGTCCCCTTAGACAGGATCCTCTGAAGAAAATATGTGACTGTTACATGGAGGATCTGAAGAAGATCTGTTATCATAGGTATTGTATAAAACAAAATGTACTTAAGTTATGTTTTTAAGTAAGCTCTGGATTACATGTGGAAAACTGACTGCTGACAGATAGACTTCAATAATAAAGCATGTGACGCTGCCATACATAAACGGTTTTGATTTGGGTATAGGGATTGGGCTGTCTTCCAAAATTTTAATAGTTTCGGACCTGCCTGTAGTGATTTGTATCGTCACAAATCAGTGACTTGATTTCTGTCTTTACGGTTCACAGAAGCTGGGTGCTCCACTCTGCCACAGACATCACTGTCTGCTTGAGGCCATTGTTCTGTGCTCTTCATGGTGGGAATAATTTTTGGTCATCTCCCCGTTCTGTTTCGCCCCATCCCTTCTCTGATGTGTCATTAAATTAGATGGTCACCATCATTAGGACTAAACCATGCTTCTTGACAATAAAGCAGCCTGCCTTTGGATGCTAGGCTACAGTAAAGCACGCTGATGCAAACCATTTTATGCAAATGAATATGCTGAAAGGGTTCTGAATAAAATGCAGACATTTAGAGTAAAGGTGAGGTGTATATGCATGGAATAGAGGTGAGAAGATTAAGTTTAAAGGTTAGGTGGGGCAGAAGACAAGAATAAAAGGAGGAGGATGAATAATGTAGGTACAGTGGAGCCAGAGTAAGATCTTCGGGGTGGTGGAAGAGCTTGAGTTTGATGCGGAAATTAACAGTTCATTCCTGGGAGACTTTCAGCCGATTCAGCAGAAGGTAAATATCTCATTTTCCAGGAGAAGCAGCTTTAAACCAGCAATTTCTAGTGAAAGTCCGAATGAGCACTTTTCACTCATTCCTTCTTTGAAATTAATGCAGAAATCAGCAGAATAGTACAAAGTGTAACTACATTTTCTTTTGCTTTCCCACATGAAAGTAGTCTTGTTAAATAACTAACATCTTACTGAAATTCTCTTTTCCTTCTCAGGGAGCTAAACGTGCAAACAAATTTGAAGTTTGTTCATACCTCTTTTCATGGAGTTGGACACGACTACGTGCAGTCGGCTTTCAAAGCATTTGGCTTTCAGCCCCCCATTCCAGTACCTGAACAAAAAGATCCAGATCCAGATTTCTCTACTGTCAAATGCCCAAATCCTGAAGAAGGAGAATCTGTGCTGGTACTTTTGTTTCTACTTCACCAGATTTCTGAGCTTTCCTCTGTTTGGATATGATACTGCGTTGAAAAACAAACGGAGGAAGGGAACAGGGAGTACCTGGCTTTCAGCTGTGTTAATACAGTGGGAGGCAATCCATATGAGACTTTCTTTCACTGCATGTTATATGTAAGTAGGAAGACTGTGGGTTTATTTGCTCTTGTGATTTTATTTTTTTCCCCCCCTCCCTCCTCTCCCACCAGGAGTTGTCACTGAGGCTTGCAGAGAAAGAAAATGCTAAAGTAGTAGTGGCCACTGATCCAGACGCAGATAGACTAGCAGTGGCAGAACAGCAGGAAAAGTAAGTGATTGGACCTTTTCTTTTATCTCTTTCTCCAGAAGAGGTAGTGAAAATTGTGGAGTGTCCCCAAATGACAGGGGACCTTCAACTCGCTCTTTCCTGTTGTGACTTAGCTGTTTGGATATTTTTCTTGCTAGCTTCATCTTTTGGTATAGCTCCACCTGAAAAAATGTATTTTAAATAAAATACATTTTTTGTATTTTATTTATTATTACATTTATTTATTATTATTTATTTATTAAGTATTTATTAATTATTATTTATTATTACATTTATAATACATTTATTTAAAAATGTATTTTAAATAAAATCAGTTAATAACTCAGAAAAGATTACTTGTAACAGTGGTAAGTATTTAATCTAAATGACCTAGTAAAACTTAACTGAAAAGTTGAGTCGTTACTAAAGACAGGAAAATCTTGTCGTTACTGTGTTTTCACTTCTATTAAGCAAACAAATTCTGCCTTGGGACGGTTAGGTGTTGTGGGCTTTTTTGGGTTTTGTTTGTTTGTTTTTCCCTGGCTTCTTCATATTGAATAGGAATTATTTTTCTTCTAACAGGCCAAAATTCTGATCATTGTGTAAGTAACTGTCTATAATGCGTGGTTGCGCAGGCATTGCCTGACTGCAATGTATAGACTGTATAGACTGCTGTACTTCTGTTTGATAAATTAAACAGACCTAAGCTGTTTTAAAGCTGACAGTAAGGATACTTAATTGGTATCTTTGCTTGCTAACAGAATGCACTGGGCTTGTAAATCATTGAGACGTGATAAATGTGGAGTCCTGTTAGTACGGTGGCTTTGTATAGAGCAGCTTGTCAGTAGTGTGCTCAGATTCCTGTTGTTCCAGTGACTGCGGAAAACGTCTCCCCGAGTGGATGCTCCTGGGAAACCTGAAAGAGCTCTTACATTTTCTATCCTGTCTGCAGTGGCTGCTGGAAGGTGTTCACTGGCAATGAGCTAGCAGCTTTGTTTGGGTGGTGGATGTTTTCTTGCTGGAAGGAAAACTGCTCCGAAGATGCTGATGTGCAGAATGTTTACATGTTAGCGACCACAGTCTCGTCGAAAATTTTGAGGGCGATTGCACTTAAAGAGGGATTTCACTTTGAAGTAAGTGTGGTTTTCATGATGTCGTCTTGGCAGAGTAAAATCTGATTGCCGTGTTCTCCTGCTACCCCCCCACCCACCCCGTTTATGGCTTTACGAAATGAAAAATAGACTGATGACTTCCATTCTTTTGGCTGGGAGTGTTTATGCATTCCAACTTGCAGAGAATGCTGTTTTCCCTAGACAAGCCTGATTTCGGCATCCGCAGTGTTTCTCAATGCGTGGTACGGTGAATGCAGGCTGTGGAATCAACTTAGGCAAAGCTGCAAGGAGGCTGTAGCAGGTGACACAAATTAAAACCTAAATAATGTATAACAGCAATGCCTTTGTCTTGGTTATTTTCCTAGAAATAAATTCTTCTGTGTGAGAGAATGAAAGTGTGTGCAGCTTGGTGTGTTTACTACAAAAATGGAGTGCTTTTTGATGGCTTTGTAACAAACACTTACAGGTTACACGATGTTCCTTCAGGTGCCCAGATCACTAGTAGGTTTTTAAATTTGGTTTTACTTCAAATTGTGACAGACAGAGGAACTCTTATGTTCAGATCTTTAATGTAGTTTCATTAAGGACTCGCTAAAAAAGAAAATGGGGGGTGCCCCTGCAGGCTGGCAGTTAATTATTTTAGTTCCTGCATTCAAATTAAGTACTTGCTCTGATTTCTGAGACTGTTGGGTGTTAGCCATAAGAGATGCAAGTGCTCTAAAGCTTAGCACAAGCATACAAAGGTCCAGGTCTTGTTGAATACGTGTCTTAATTAAATCCGTGTGCAATAGGAAAAAATATTTTGCCAAACAATGAGGAATTAAAAACTAAAATTGAAGGCAACTCTGAAAATCATTTTGAGTGACTGTCCAGATATGGTTAATCAGGTTGAATATCACTGCCTTGTAGTGAATAAAATTATCTCACTAAATACTGTTGATTTATTTTTTTTTTTCTGGGAAGGGACACATTTGACTGAAAAAAAGCTAGGAATTTACAGAACCCCTTGCTCACCTCTAAAAGCTTCCCCTCTTTGTACCTTCCTTCTCTCCAAGAAGGACTGCTTCAAAGCTTTTGACTGCTTTTGCATGATTTGAAGAACACAAGCAGTGCTCTTCCCTCCCATCACCCAAAATTGCTGGTTATATTTCTGTAACTTTTCCTTTTGAATAACTGTACTGTTGTATCACCTGATAAGCACCACGGAAGATCTTTTCTGATCTCGGCGAGAACCACAGTCTCTCAAGCAGGCTTACTCCTTGATCTGATATTCATGTCCTAGTTGAGTATTCACTAGTAAAATGCTATCCAGTGACTCTTCGCCTTAGATTCATAATCTAAATTGAAGATACGACTTGTCTAATGTTTGTCTTTACTGTCCCTATTCTGTTTGTCAGTTAATTAGATTTAAATTCAGGGAAATTATTTCAAGAAAGTCAGAAAAGCATCCTTAAGCTTTAGTGTTTTGACTCTGCAGCAGTGTTTCCCATTGACCCTAAAATTCAGAATGCATCATCTCTTTTTTTTTTTCTTTTGTCTGAAGCATCCTGGAAGTGAAGGGAATAGTGGCTACGCTTTTTTCTCTGACTTGAAACTAAATTGAAAATGTGTATTTAATGCACTTTTTTTTTTTGTTGTTGTTCTGTTTCAGGAAACACTCCCTGGTTTTAAATGGATTGGAAGTAGAGTAAAAGATCTCCTAGATAACGGAAAAGAAGTTCTCTTTGCATTTGAAGAGTCTATTGGTATGTATGTTAATATCACTTTAAAATGTTGAGAACTGTAGGGGGGAAATGTGACTAAAAGGAGTGGTCTTAGTTATGAAACGAAACACAGAAGTACTTTATTTTTGTTCTTGTAGTTACTGGTATTGGTATTTTGCTCTCATCAGATCAACTTGCCAACTGTCATAGTAAATGATATATGAATCTCTGATTCTGGTATTGTGCTTGTGCATTTTCCTGATACAAACTTACTCTGATACAGGTTGAAAGTCCTGAGATGCCAGAGCCAACCTACTGTTGCTTTGTGGCCTTTTAGCTGAGATTAAGCATAGGATCTGTTCTTAACCAGTTTAATATCTTACAGGTCCTCTCTGTGAGGACTCGCTATTAATGGCTGTGTGGAACTCGGAGGTGGCTTGCTTCGGTCACGCTATCCATCGCACCAGTACTGCAGTTCCTCCAGGAGCTGTACACCGTTCCCTCATACTTCAGAACAATATGTGAGGAACCCAGACGTGCAGGAATAGCATTAAATACCTTATGGAAGCATGTAAATA